AGCGACTGTGGTTGAGTGATTTACAGATTTTTTGTCTCATACGTAATGTCAATGGTTGCTTTGTGTGCTTTGTACGCCAACGCAACGAGTCCATGATAGTCTGGTATACAATGGCATTGCCGTCATAAAAGTAAACATGTTAACCTTGTCTGCTGAGTCATCGTCTCGTGTTGAGGAACGGTGACCGAGTAGACTAGTGCTGAGTAATACTGTGCATGCAAACAAATGACGCTTGTCGATGTCAATGAAATCTACACAGTGAGGTTCTACATTGTAATCGTTAGTGTGCGTTAACGATCTACATTACTGAGCGCCATTTTTTTTAGAATTAAAAAAGTTAGTAGAAAAGTGAAACAAAAAATCGTTACCCTAAACAATAATGTCATTTTCCCGCCACATTTTTGGCGCTAAGCACAGTCCGTGTGTACTCATAATTTATTGCATCCATGGTTTTGTACCAAACCGTTGTTGATGCACGATTCTGTACGAACTATCATCACGTTTTCTGGTACAATGATTGATGAGTGTATCTTATTTTCCAGCGTTTGTACTATGGCGATATACAGCTGCTTACAAGACTGTCTGAGTAACCCAACCAACATCGTATTACTGGTATTAGTGTGTATAATTATATATGGAGTGTTGAGTCTTCGTATACCTTCTGGATTTCCATCTGGACCGAGGGGGTATCCTTTCATTGGCAATATGCTCGGTGAGTTCTTATTATGTTTATCATTTCTACTGTCGGCTCTTGGCTAGAATTGCAATTTTTACATTTTTCAGGAAGAACCAAATTTTAGAAGTTCTGATAACAGTACTCAAATTTTAAATTAAAGCGGGAGGGTCGTCACCTGTGCACGCGGGGGAATCGAGTTCCAAGCGACGATAACACGCGCTAAAAACGCAAAGGCTCATGGGTAGACGCTTGTTTGTAAACAATGACACGCTATGGCCATCTGACGCATGCGCAGGTGACGACTACCCCGCTTTAAATTTCACGCTTGTGATCATATGCTAATTCACTGTGTTGAAGTGCAGAGCGCTTCCTTGAAGCAAATATTCATCATTTCAGTAAATCCTTCGCTCGAAATCTGATTGAAAACGGTTTTTACAGACAAACACCCCAAACAGTCAATCGTCAACGGGCACCATCTGCCACGTGATTTAGAATAGGGCTAGTCAACAGTTGTAATTCAAATACGGACGACAAAGTCTCGCGATACTCGGTCATATTGACAACCATAATTTAAATTTTTTTCATGAAAATAACACCTGCATTAAAAGTGTAAAAATCCAAATAAACACCAATAAGAACGTTTATTTCTGTTATATAGATTTTATCTCCAGTCTCTGTTTTCTCAACACCTCATGGATCCGGCGTGTTCTCAAGTGTGATGTGAACATACTTTCAAAGTAAATAATTTCAAAGCGATGTTATACACATATACCATGACTGTCCTTACATCATTTACATGCATGACTTCGTATGCTTATCAAACATTTAAGTTTGTATATACCATAGATTTATAAAACTTAAAATTAGATTATGTCTATACAGGTTGTACCAAATAGTGCAACCTATAGACAAATCACAGCTTTGCAATAATCTCATATGAGATTATCGAAACAATATTTTGCCAGAATCGCAACGATCCGATGAAGCCATTTTTGTAGAATATGCCGGCTGGCCGGCCCTAAGGGGTCCATCTATATTCCGATTTCACATGCCTGACAGTGCTCGGGTCTCTTGTTAATATCCAAATTACCACACACTAATTCAGCATTAAATTAAAAAGATTCAGATTTAATTTCACTGAAATATGTGTGTTTGAAGTAAGCAGGTTTAGTGTTTCTGGACCATCTTGATCTCCTTGTATCATTCGAAACAATTACAATGGGGAAGGAAAATCCATTTTTATGACCTAATAAATATGTATATTTGACAGTTGGTATATAATGCAACATATCGTATGATCATAAGCACAAACATGTATTTCATATACCAGCTGAAATTATTGTTATATATAATTAGTAAATATTTGTAAAGTTTTGTTCACACGTGCCGAGAAATGGAGGGTTTGAGAGCTTCATAAATATCCCTCAAAAGTGTGCGAAACCTGCTTTCATATCCCTTACCGCTAATAGTATAAACATTAATGGCGAACTAAAAAATCTTGTCACTCCTGTTTTGAGGTCGTTTAAACCGATTATCATTGCGTCCGTTATTACTTCTTGGTTGAGTTAAAAATGTACGTAATTTGAACTGCCGTCTAGTGTATTTCACAAATAATAATTGCCTCAAGTTCTTGAAAGCAAATCACATTAACATATTCTCAAAGACTATCAGTACAGTTAATTATTGCATAATTATGAATGCCATGCCAGTTTACATCCCCCCCCCCCATAGATCGCGACTGTGAAGTAAAACCCAAATAATCAAAAAATACAGACTCTAACAGCAAAGAAGACAATTCGAAACTACGCAAATCAATTTAAAGAAGGAACATTTAAAAGACGGCAGTCGTCGTGCCGCGTCCTGTTCGATATGGGACTCATAGCGACGTATACAACGCGTGTAAAATACATTGTTTATTTACATGAAATTCGAACACGCGCTGCGCGACGACTACCGCGCTTTAATAAACCAAATGTACAGTTGTCGCCGCCATGTAAACTTAGCCATTCCAAGCGCAGTCATGAACCCGAAGATAAGCCCAACGAATATCGGTACACGTCACCAAATAAAAAATACTTATTATCAGTATTTCACGTCTTTGAAAAGCCATCCATACGTTTAAAAAGATCTCAAATACAGCACAGAGATTGAATTGTACACCGTTACTAAATCACGCCGCAAATCTATATAGAACTCCTTACATCGATCAAACAAACCTGGAAAAACATACAGGTCAGACATGTAGGACATTTGAAGTCGCGTTTATGGCTGTCACACCTGGTTATTGTGAAATATTTCATTGATTCGGTTATAAAGTACAGACTTTTGACTTCAAGTCAGTGTTTTTTTTCAGTTCAAGTTATTTTTTTTATATCATTTTATTCATTTTGCATTCGTGATGATGTAATGGTCGTGAGTGTTCGCTACTCATGTTAAAGCGGGGGAGTCGTTGCCTGCGCATGCGTTAGATAGCCATAGCGTGTCGTTGTTTACAAACAAGCGTTACTCATGAGCCTTTGCGCGCGTGTACAGGTGACGACCCCTCGGCTTAACAGTATTACTAGACAACTGTACATATTTTGAGTGACTGTTTCGATAGTACGTGTAATTTATTCTATCTAGTTAAAAGGCGGCAGTCGTCGCGCTGCGCATGTGCGACATTTGTGTTGATAAACATTGATTTTCCCACAATCCAAAGCGCTCTTCTAATGGAAATAACAAGTATGAGGTTTGACCTGGGCGCGACTTGCACTAATTACCACCGGCGACTCCTTCGATACCTTCCAATCACCTAAAAAAAATACCTAATTAAAGCTTGGTGACGTCCCAGTCTGTACTTATTGATCTGCGCAACAGTCAAAGTCGCCATCTTTGTTTATATGAGACCCATAGATCTCGCTCATGCGGGGCGCGACGACTGTCACCCTTTAAACCAGAGTTCAAAATAAATTATTGGAAATATATAAATACACTTCCATCTATGAAGAAGAAAAACTACTCGAATTTCTTAGGTAAATGTCTTCTTATTTCAGCTCTAGCAAAAGAGCCACATATTACTCTGACCAACTATGCGAAAACATATGGGGATGTATACACTATCAAACTCGGCAATACACCAGTGGTTATTCTGAATTCCATTGAAGTTATAAAGGAAACATTGGTGAAGAAACAGAACGATTATGCTGGACGTCCTAACGTTTACTCATGTACGTTATTTACTGTAATCATGTTTTTATTTCTTGTGATGTTTCTAGAATATATCATGAAAGTTAGATGTTATGAAAAGATAGGTTTGGGAAATAATTGTGATATCAGTACCTACGTTAATGATATGAAAGTATTTAAAAAAAAACATTGACAGAAACACATTTCTATACTCCTATTTCCATTGTGGCCAGGGAAATAAAAAAAATACAAAATAAAGAATATCATCTTCAACTAGGAATTGCATGGAAGACACTTATTAATCAAAGTAATATGTTTCGACCCTTAAATGAATCGCACTAAGTAACCAAGTCTGTAACTTGGATTCCATACATATAAAGGTTGCTGAAAACATACCAACTTGATATATTAGTCCCTGTTCAGACGTTGGAGTTATGGCTATCGTAGTCATTAAAATGCCGATACATTGCAATTACAGTTCTTTTTGTCACACATGCGTTGTCCAAATTCGATAAGCTGGTTGAACAGGCTGAATTACTTATGTGCGTTCTGTTTTGTTTACATTTTAAAGTCGACTGGTGGCAATTTTGTCATTGACCGGCCATAATAGTTGATAGTTTGCGTGTCAAGTTATTTCTGATCGGATTGTTTTGGTCAAACTTTTTAGCTCCGCTGTCATCGTACATGATAGAGTGGAGCTGCTCATATAGGTGTTTTCCTTCCGTTGTCCCTCTGTGGTCCGTCAACAATTGCATTTTCAACTTATTAGCTCAATTGCTTTAATACTTGTAGGCACCTTGGGTGGATTTATTAATTTCTTTATTAATCAATCTGTCAGATTTGTTCATTTTGTGACGATATCTTCAATTCTCTATTTTTGGCAAATATTTTTGTCATTTGTGGTAAAAAAATGTTTTTTTCTTCAAATTCTTCCTGATAACTACCAGCTTAGATAAATTAAAGTTTGCACCCACGAGTGGAGATGTTTGATTATTTATAGAAATAATTATATTCGTGTTGTTATTTTATGTTTTGTTGTATGTTTAGTCGAAATGTTGTCTGAGGGAGGAGAAGATATAGTAATGGCTGATTTCACGCCGAAGTGGAAGGTTCTGCGCAAATTCGTACATCAAGCAATGAGGTGAGAATTGCATTGCATCACATTTGGTCAGTGTGTTTCATAAGACATATTATTTATATTTACATATCAGTTTTTTTCACACTCAGCGCGCCGCGATGAAACCGAAAATCCATGAAACGACTGAAAAAAACCCATTAAATTATAGAGATACCTTGGCCCTAAAAACTGATTGATTTCGATGGTTATTGTCATACGCAACTGTTTCCAATCACGAAAAACAATTTCAACGGCTTTTATCATCCAATATTTCGAATAATCAACAAAATACGACTAATATCAACTAAGTTGTCATAACATTCCTGTAAACTAATGCATACAACGTTATTTATCACTGAAGAACACTTGCATTTTTCTCTATTTTAATAATTGTTTCTGGAGTAGAATGTACCCTGGGAACTGAGAAACAAAATATAATACGTATTTCTTTTGGGATGGCATATTGTTACCCCAGACCATTCGTCCC